TTGAATCTCAAACGCGATAACGAAAGCTCTCTAATGACTCAAGTTACTGCATGATTGTTTTATAATTTTAATAAAACTAATTTCTTCTAATTTTAAATATATTTTCCCTGAATTTGTGATTATTCGTCGTCGTGCATGGACTAAATGCGTGACAAATTTAAGATCACGCATGTGTTTCCGCCAAATGCGTGTTACATCAAAAATCACTTTGAAGCGGGACCGTCCCGCACGATGCGCGAGAAACGGTTGGTAATGCGTTTTGTAAGCCAGGAACCAACAGTATTTTGTTACGTTTCTTCACAGAGGGGGGTTCGTCTGAACCCCTTGAACCCCCTGGATCCGCCACTGCTTTCCATTGATACCAATCATGACCATGTTTTATGTGGTGCGTCAGCCATCTTAAAATTCAAAATGGCGGCCGATGACTTTGGGAAAAAAATGGCACCTAACTTTTTTGAATTCAGCGCAGTAAAAATGATAAAATCAGTCAATAAAATCTATTTTTGCTCAAAAATCTATCTGGGTTACATAGAAAACTAGCTTATATACTCGTTCTTATTTTATGTACATTTTAAGTAAGTATATTTTGCGATTATTTTTAGACCTATTTTTTAATTATGTTCCATTCTGGCTTGAGTGACAGTAGTTTTTATATGTCTAGATTGTTGCCTGTCTAGAAATTATGAGTTTAGACACCAAAATCATATCTGTAGCTTATTTAGTTTCAATTTTTTGCACATTTTAGATAAATTTAGCGGCCATTTTGAAAAATGGCCGCCATTTGTATACAAGGAGTAAAATCAAGCGTCAACAGGGCTTAGGGTGACCAGAAGGGGTTAATTAGGATATTTGGCTATGTGGATTGCTTCTAACATTCCACTCCCCCTAACTCATTTTTTTCAGATTTTTTTTCTAGTCTACTCTGCCCACATCATAATTCACCCCTGTATAAATTCTCAAGCATCTTTTCCGTTTGAAAAAAAAAAAAATTTAAGAATGAAGACAGAATCTAAACCTCCACCAAAGTTTCATTCAGACCCATTGATCAGTTTCTGAGATATTTACATCTGGGACAAAAGCACTGTCAATAACTCCCCCACCCAACTTCATATCCGAACCGGGATCGTCACCAAAATATAATATCTTCCTTGTAACTTGGTTAACTCTTCAAGAAAGTTTCATTCAAATCAGTAGATCAATTTAGAAATATCTAGTGTGGGGTGTTTTTCTTTAAATGGTCCCCCACATCCACACCTTACAGTACTCTGAATTATCACCAAATAAAAAGGAATTTTCCATTCAATGTCAGAAATCATTTGGGAAATCTGACATGTAGACCTAAAACTGTAGGCTGGGGGCTGCAAAGAGACAAACATACAAGCACAAAAAATCATATGAAAGCACAACCACCTTGTCAAGGTAATAATTACCTCCGCCAAGGATGTTTATCAACTTTGTGTTTCCCTCGAATGTTGGTCCTATGCCCATCATTAAAGTGAAGCAATTGGGTAAGTATTTATTATACAGTAGGTTGTGTCTGGACTATATTTAGTTAACAAAATAGTTGATATTTATAATGAAATGTTAAATAGGAAATTTCTGGAAATAGCTTAGGCCTAGTTGAAAGGAATACTACGTTGTGAAAAGTAACATATGTTAAACACAGGGTAATGTATGTTATTGTTGATACAGCATGTAATAAACATCATTTAATAAAATCATGGGCAGTGGCTGATATATTTACTTTCTTTTACATATATCCTAACATAAGTGACTCTCTATAGGAATGCTATCATTCATGGAAATATTCCTATTCCATATATTTCTGATTTATTTTGATGGTAACGTATATTACAGTAAAATATTATGTGTACATTATAATCGCGAGTAAATTCATGAAAGCAAACATTACACATTACATAAATTTACCTAATCAACATTCTTTAACATCAAATAGATATGATGACAACAAATATGTTTGCAAATCATCTTTATAATGTTCTATTAGATGAGTTATCATGGTAATGTAGGTTACAAAACTTTATCAAACTGAAAGAACAAGCAAAACTAGGGGCTTAACCACATATCATTAAAAAAAAACATATTATTAACTACTTCAATGATTTTTTTCTCAAAAACCATAACTAAAATAAATATAAAAACAAATCAAATGTTCTTCTTGTTGATTATAGACAAAAATACTCTTTAGTCATTTATGATAGTTTTGAAAAAAAATGTGCTCATTTTGAATCTGAGGTTATCACTTATTTTTAAATACATGTACTGTATATACTCACAATTAAGAAATTATAATTTTACTTGATTTTACAACGATAGACTCATGATCGGTGTTACATAATTATATGAAACTTACCGTTACTAACATTTACATACATAATGCGATTATCATTGGAAGTGTATGGCTAACAAATTTTTGTCATTTGTTACCAGAGCATCTTCGTAGATTTCTAATGGGAAAGATATATGTTGTTTGTTTACTTTTAGTGAGCGAAAATGAAAAGTATCAACCGGACTAAAATATATTGTTATATTATTACAGCAATTTTTCAAAAAAATATAAATGTGTAATTACTTGGGTGTCGCACTTTTAACCCACTTGTTTTATACTTATGTTGGTGGATTTGATGACTGAATGGATTGCATCTAAGATAAGAGAGTCAATCATATTCTATCAATATCAAAATACTGATAAAACTTTAATTGATTACTTTAATAATTATCTTTAATGACTGTTTGAGATTGTTTGGTGTAAATTATATTAAGGGAAACCCCTGCCTACCACCATGCTGATTTATTAAACCCAAGCCATCTGACTAGGGCAGATAATGGTAAAATAGTACTATCTTCATTATTCATCTCGATACTTGTTAAATATTTGTTTGTTTAAAACTAAAATTAGTAATTATTTTAAAAATTTGAAATCTCTTAATGCCATTAATAAATATATTATTATAAAATAATTTTAATGAATAATAATTTAGTATAATGATAATGTTAATATAATTCTAATTGAATAATGTTTTTGTGTAATTTTTGCATTATTTTGATGCAATTATTTTATTTTTTTCTCATTTATTCATTTTATTTTTTGTACGGAATAGCACATCCTTTTTGGGATCTTCTTTTTCTCTTCTTCTTTTTCAAGCATGAAAAAGATATTACATAACAAACCAAGTAAAAGCTGCATGTAATGTTACTAAATACACAGTACTTATTGAGTGTGCTGAAAATCAATGTTTACAGTCAGTTCTTTTAAAATTTAGATTGTTGGAGATTCTGGGGTCTAAAGGGGCAGATCCAGAATTTTTCAAATAGGGGGCACAACAGTTACAGAATAGGTAAGTAATTAGTACATAACATTGATTTGCATTGAATTTTATAAAACTTAGTGGCAAAACAGGTGGGGGGGTGTGCCCCTACTGGATCCGTCCCTGGTCAACTTCTTTGATCTGTACCAGGCTGTCAAAAAAATTACCCCACGTCAATATCAAAATACTGATAAAAAACTTTAATTGATTACTTTAATAATTATCTTTAATGACCATTTGAGATGGTTTGGTACAGGAGACCCAACCCTACTTGTAAGCATGTATATCAGGTTCATGATCGATGTATTACCTACCACACATGCTGATTTATTAAACCAAAGCCATCTGACTAGGGCAGATAATGGTGAAATAATACTATCTTCATTATTCTTCTCGATACTTGTTAAATATTTGTTTGTTTAAAACTAAAATTATTAATTACTTTAAAAATTTGAAATCCCTTAATGCCATTAATAAATATATTATTATAAAATAATTTTAATGAATAAAAATTTAATTTAATTTAGACAATGTTAATATAATTCTAATTGAATAATGTTTTTGTGTAATTTTTGCATTATTTTGATGCAATTACTTTATTTTTTTCTCATTTATTCATTTAATTTTTTTTGTACAGAATAGCACATCCTTTTTTGGTGAGAGTGGCTCTTCTGCCTTTCCTATTCCTTGGCACTGAGTTGAGTTTGTTTGAGATAAAAGGTTAGGTATTTTTTCAAGCATGAAAAAGTTATTACGTTACAAACCAAGTAAAAGCTGCATGTAATGTTACTAAATACAGTACTTATTGAGTGTGCTGAAAATCATGTTGATTAAATTTACAGTCAGTTCTTTTAAATTTTAGAATGCTGGAGATTATGGGGTCTACAGGGGCAGATCCATAATTTTTCAAATAGGGGGGGGGGGGCACAACAGTTACAGAATAGGAAAGTAATTAGCACATAACATCGATTTGCATTGAATTTTATAAAATTTAGTGGCAAAACAGGGGGAGGGAGGGCATACCCCCTCCCCACTGGATCCCCCTGGTCAAATTCTTTGATCTGTACCAGGCTTTCAGAAAAATGACCCCACAATTGGAAGCCTACATAATAATTATAACTATAACACACATCAACTTCACCATAATCATTTATTCCCTATCCTATTCATAAATAATTTATTAATAATTTATTAATTATTATTAATATTTATAATAAGACCAAAAAAATTGATGGCTGGTCTGCAACTTTTTAACTTTTTTTTTTTTAAGTTAGTAGTTATTATAATTTTGATGCTACATGTCATACACAAGAAGAAGGATAGTGATGATGACCACTGGTACAACTTGTTGTAGCATAATGTAACACAATGTTGTAGCATAGGTGATTCCGGAACTGTTATTGCATTTATACCAAACAGCCAAAATTTGGTGACATCATACTTGGTAACTTATTCATTCTATTGTCTATTGAGAGTCAAAAATTTACCATAGCTTGACTCTACTGATATTTAAAAAAAATATTATGTATAGATTTTCTAAATTGTGGGTCACTCTTGTTTAGGGCAACACAAACTATTTTCACAATATTCACAATAACCATCACCAAATTATTATATGAGATAAGAATAATAACGGTATAAATTTCACTTACTTTTTTTGACTTCCCTGAAACTTTGTTGTCTAATCGATTCATTTTGGGAGTTACTTGAAAATCCACATTTGTAACTGTTTTCCTATCTCTTATGATTGGATGACTTGCAGCAATTGTCAAGATACACACTCTGGTGAAGTTGAAAGAGACTATGATGTGATTTATAATAATAATAATAATAATAATAATAATAAAAATCATTATATTAATTTTCCTTGCCGAGCCACTAGGGCTCGTAGGGCTGTAGCTTATCCCCGGTTTCTGTACCGTGAAGCAGATGAGCATGTAATATTCCCCCTGGGTGGGACACTGGCCCACTGCAGGTTACTCCCAGCTATTTGCTTGTACCCACTGATACAGCTGGGTAGACTGAAGCAATGTGGATAAGTGCCTTGCTCAAGAACACAAGCGAAATGCGCAGCGAAGGATTGAAACCTCGACCGCTTCCATTATATTAATTTTAGTAAGGACCAAATGTTTATGATGATTTACAGCCAGACACATGCACAAATCTGGAAGAAATATATTGTAGCACCTTTCTTCAGGACATTTTTTTTAGTTCTTATCAATGTCAATAAATATATTGTAAAAACAAACAATTTTACACTAATATGAATCTACAAAATATTGGACGAGGATTTGTCACGCTACAAAAGCAAAACATGCAGGCATTCAATATTCTAATTACGCTAGAACAGTATAAGTGGAACATAGTATTTCAGTGAGTGTGGATGATAATTAATGTGTATGTTCCCTAAATATAAGAGAATATATTACTATAAAGTGACCATGTTAACCACCAAAATAAGTCATTATGTAACAAACTCAGGCCCGTAGCCAGGTTCTTCCAAGGGTGGGTTTTCTGGGCGTGAGGTCCACAGTTGAAGCCCCGGTGGGGTAGGCGAAAACCCCCAAAGCAAGAGGATTTTTGTGCTTTATAGGTCTAAAAGCAGATATGTTTGAAAATGCAGTGCATTAGTTGGGGTTGGAGGACAGTATTTGGGAAATTTAAAGAGGGGGTTTCGCCAGAAAAGAGGGGGGTTTGCTAGAAAAGGGGGTTCTCCCGAACCATAACCCCCCCCCCCCGGATACTAATAATAAAATAAATAAGTAAACTGTATCTTACAAGAAATATAAAAAACGAAAGACATACTACTACTACAGTATTCATAAAAACTAATCCACCTCTTTTAAACTAAGCATGGTTGACTTTTCAGAATGAGTTTGCCTTATTTTCAGCAAATATTTAGACATCCCTTACCTGTTGGAATGCTTAAGTATACAAAAGTCTTCAGAGTGTTTACCCTTCATATCTGAAATACATAAGTACTGTAAGTTATTTTTTCTGTTAACTGTCATTTTAAAAACTATCATAGAAACATCTATCTTTCCAAGTATTTAACAGCATTTACTTTATGTTTTTCTGCCAGGTTACGGCACCTGAAATGCAAAACGAATATAAGCGTTAAGTCCCTTTTCTCTATAATTCATGGGTGGTACTTGTGAAGAGTTTCAAGGGAAGAGGTATAAGTTGGTAATTTCAGAAAAAGTATATGACAGAACCAATACTTAGTCCGTATGAACATTAATGACTACTGCTGTAGGATTTTATATCTAAAGTCCCCCAGGGTGTAGAGTGTGACATGGTTGCACACATGAAAGTGCAAAAGCCAACTATCAGCTCACTACTGGATTCAAGTACTTTGTCATGTTTGTTGGTCGAGCAGACTTGATTTACATGTGGCTAGTAGCAAATAAGTTAATCCATAAAACATAGCTGTCACTGTGGCTCTTTATTCCTGTAATTTATCTTTATTTTATTCCTTTAGGCACATGGCCAGGGATTAACAACAGTGATTTAATCACTGTCCTATTAGAGAGGTGGCAATCTCTTCGCAAGACAAACATATACACATGATGTTCTAGTCGGTCAGTCTCATCATATTATTCAAGGCTTAGGTTAGCAGGTTCCAGAATAATAACATACGCGCTCACGATTGTGACAAGAAAATCCCTGATCTGGATATCAAGAAGATGACGGTGGGATCACTGGCCTATAGGAAATTGGAAATTGGGAATGCGTATGTCTGATTGGTTAATGATAGAAATGAGGTCAACTTGCTAATCAATAACGTATCCACTTTCTGGAAATGGTTAGTGCTAACCACGGATAATGGTTCCCCCTACCTCAGCCCCACCATGGGTTGGGGTGAGGTAAGAATAAATATGATTATGGCACCTCAAGATATGCAGAAATGCATTCTTTTTTCTCAACTTTTTTTATAATTTTGAAAAATTTAGGGGGGGGGGGCATGCCACCTGGGCCGCCCTTGAATCCACCACCGAAGTATTACCGTAAACATAGTGAACAATTAGCAGAAAGCTAAATTGTTTATGTACACAGACATTGTGGTAACAAGTAAAGATTCCCAATGTGAAACTGAGAGACAATCAGGAATGCAAAAATGGATTATGTTAAGTTGTACTCAAGAGTTTAAGCATGATTACGTAACAATGTATGATAAGAACTTTGACTGTACCTATTTTTGTATTAATTTACAAAATATTATATTTCCATATTTGTTTACATAGTTAAGTTTTAGCCTCAACACCAATAATATACTTTTGAATTTAAAAATTGGTGCATTATTTACCGCTCAAACTGTTTAATTCATTTGTTTTGTCATGACACCGATCGCATTTCGTCAATTCAGGTGTGCATCTCATGCTGTTGACACGTGGTCATGATTAAACGACCAATCACGACAAGATTACAAGTAGTGGAACACCATTCCATGACAGCTGATGGAGATGTTGCTATGAGACTGAAAGCTACTATAGGAAATAATTCACTTTGGAACAGGTAGCAAATTTTATATTAACATGTTACCTTGTTTCACAAACTTTTTTTCTTAAAGATTGTCAGAGAAGGGCAGAAAAAATATAAATAAAATTTGGTTTTCTTATTTAGCAAATAGTTAAATTGCCAAAAACATCCAGACAGAGAGAAAATAAAAATAAAATTCTCTTGGTGAATGTAAACAAGTGTAACAATGGGATGGTTAAATGCTTTAAGTTTACATAATTAGGAAAAAATATACATATCTTATAGATTTCAAGGCAGCGGTGGGCGTAATAAAAATAAAGAAAAACTGTCATTTTTTTCTGAAATTTAAATTTTTTGTGGCGACAAGTGCGCTAATTGGCCAAAAATAAAATTTTATTTTTTTAAAAATCATCTGTCTTGGTGGACGGCGGGTCGCTAAACAAGGTATATAAAAATTCTCGTCTAACTTATGTAACGAGGAATTTTTTACGCAAGTAAGTGACATTATGGAACTGATATTTGCTGTAATAATAGTATGTCTTGAATATTTATTTTTGTATGTATACTCTGTGTAATATATTATATTACCCACAAAATAATTTCATATACTTCATACATGACAATAAAGATGAATCTAAATCTAGCTTCTATGCTACAATTTAGTAAAAGCAGTGCAAGTAACAGTACAGTACTTTGTATTTTGACTAAGAGAAAACATTGAAAACCAGAGCATAATGAACCAGAGCAATAAATAATGATTCTGGTTAAAAGCAGTAACCCCCCCACCTTCCCATCAATCCAATGGCAACAATATATGTGTGAACTTTCACTCAATCAACAGGTAAATCATGTTATGTCACACCTTGGCTGTGACCTGTACATTACTGGACATCATTCTCATGTTACAGCTCCCACCTGTTCCCAACAAGATACCTTAACAGGAAAGGTTAAGAATGTGGCCCCTTATAATGGTTTTAATGATCTGTTTAGATGTGTCATAACATTCGCTTGTCAAGCTTCTTTTTTTTTTAATCTGGTGGGGGCTGAAATTTATTTAGATAGTGAGGCTACACCTGAAAAAAAAACCAAATAGTAATTCAGATTCTATTAAATTCAATTCAATTTTTTAGTCAATCAGAAAAATTCATACTGTAGGATTAGATGGCAATGTTTTACTCATCAGTGATGTTAATTTATTTGGGGGTATTGTGTATTGGGACCGAATTGAAAGGGTGCTGGGTAAGGCACGGAAACTAATTGGTTCGTGTGTGCAGACACTTGACTCATTCTAGCAAGAATGGCTTGCAAAGGTGTTTCAGGCAATATTGGAACACACAACATCCGCTCCATGCCGACATCACAGTTAGATGTGGTAGAATGAGGACGGTTAATGCGCAAACGGACCATTACAAGTACTCGTTCTACCCAGCTGGGATACAAAATCACAATCTGAAGTATTAAGATAATTTATATTTTCTACTGGCAGGCGTGAGCATTTGCAATTTCCAAAGATTTGGCAACTAAAGAAATCTGTATCTGTATCGTAACCCCCTATACAACACCAGTTCAGCAATGTTAAGTCTAACAAATAGAACTAAATATTATGACATGAATACAGTGTAGGTGTGTCAACTCAAACTCTGGGAAAAGAAATTACAGTAGAAATGAGTGGAAGAATGAATTTGTGAGCTCATGTACTTGATGACTAATTTATTATTATTTCTACGAAATGCTGAATTTGGCGCCACCTACTGTGATACTATAAATCATGGTGCTAACTATTAATGGGCAATTTCAAAATTGTCTGCGTTACTTAAATCCTCGTGTAGGCCTAGGCCTTGTATTTAGGTCAAGTGTGTTCATTCAACAAATGATTGAGTAAAAAGAACATAACATTCCCAGCTCATAATATCCCTTTTATTTAAAAAGTTAACACAATGATTTAATAATTTATTTAGTGATTAAACTACATACTGTGCTGTTGTAGAAAATTAAATTACATTTAATAAAAAAATTAAAAACAAAATTATAAATTAATTATTGCCGTGGTGAACTTGGGGGAATCACCGCGGCTTGGGAGGCCACGCTAATGTCGAGTGCTGGAAATGCAAATTTATTAAAGTATGACTGCGCATGCATTGTTTCATTTACATAAATATATCGTTTACTGATTTGTTTACGGCGACGTAGATGTATCTGCTTCCTTTGAAAAAATACAAAAGTACTTTCTTCTTAAATTTATTTGTAAAATTTTCCAATCTTCTGATCATCCGCTTAAATAGTTTTTAATACTGGACGGGAAACCAAAGCGTGAAACTTGTCTGCACAAATTATCTTTTTAATACGTGTAGATTAAAAAAGAAAATTCAATCGCATGGCATAACCACTCATTGCATTAGGTCCCTATGGCCTTCCATACACTCACTTTCACGTCTAAAAAAATCTACATACAGTAATTAGTGCTAGGCCTAGGGCCTAGTTATCTTTCAACTATTATACTACTACAGTCGCACAGATATGATACTGCTGTACAGTAATATGGCAAATCATTTTTGAAAACATTACAAACACTAGGCCTAACGTAGGCCTACTACAGGTTTGTTCTAAATAATTTGAATAATTGGTACGACGAGTTACTTACAATTATTATCACTACTGCTATGCATTGGACCATCCGTCCTTACTGGCAAGGAAGTACTCACCTAGAATACAGATAATTTCGGTCGCGCTTCGTTTCGGTCGCGCTTTTTTTTTTGGTCGCGCTTCATTTCGGTCGCTGTTTGTTTTCAACAAATATATAGAGTGCCAATGGAGTTGCGAAACGCTAAATTTAATATAACTTGGCCTAATTATTATTGCAAGTTCATCAATCGGTTTAACATACTTTTTTTTATTTGTGTTTTGTTGTATTTTTCTAATAAATAACAACAGGCTACTTAAAAGCAAATAAAATTAATACTATTATTACTAAACTATCAATTAATATATCAGACGGTTTATATTTTCGTTTTGTATGTATGCTTTCTACATAACAAATACAGCAAATAAAATAGATAGTAAAATATGATATGATGTTATATATTATTATAATTATTATATATTATTTTTTTTATTTATTTACATTGTATCAGGAAAAACCAGCCAATTTGTCATTTAAATTACTGTAACATTAGTTTATTAACAATTATTTTTAGTAGTATTAAAGTTTGTTATTGTTACTATATTACTGTATAACTTGGTGCTATTTTTCTTTCTTTACAGAAGCAACGCAGATGTTACGAAGTTGACCGAGTTTAAAATAGGTTTTTTTGTTTCTTGCTATATACATTGATATAATTTTTTTATATTAATGCTTGAATCAAATAAAAATCTATGGAATAAGTATATTCAATAGATTAGTTTCGCATACGTTTTTTTTTTCTTGTCTGTTGCGTTTCCATTTAACACAAATGTTCTGATCATGTTATAATAATATTGTAAAGGAAATATGTATTTCCATGTTTTTTTTCCATATAAAATTAT